ACTAGGGAGTGTTGTGGATTTATCCGATTACCTGTTTCCTCAAATTTAGCACCTGTCTGCTCACACATTCAGTGTTTTAGCATATGTGAATGAATGGTCTCTGAATCGGTTACCTTGTTCTTCATTTCTTTGCCCTCCCTTTTCTCTACCGTGCAGCATGGTTCATGGCATGCGGATAAAAAATGGCAAAGCTACTTACGTCTCTCGCTATGTGAGGACGTCGAGGCTTAAGCAAGAGGAGTACTTTGGAGGATCTAAATTTATGAAGGTATGTTCACGAGGCGCAGAGACACAAATTTGGGATGTTGCATGATAAGAGTTCATATCTCAGTTCGATTGGTTTTTGAAACTTCAGAGCATGTGGCATGCTCACTTTGAATCGTGAATATATCAACACTTTTTGGCCAAAATGAAAACCATGTGTCGGCACATCTCCATTGCAATGCAGATGGAGGATTCTAATGTCAATCGACAAACATCTTCAATTGTTCTGAGTGGCCTCAAATTTTGAAATGAGCAAAACATCAAGTTCCTTATGAATTGACAAAAGCTATGTATACAGGAGACCGGCGTGGTCATCGATTTTTATTTCTCACTAGGCAAAGGATGTGCTAGGATTCTTTCTGTGGACGTTCGCTTCCTAAGTGTTATTTATTGTTTATCTAACTCCCGATTTGCAGATTGGAGACGTTAAAGGGCTTTTTGGTTTACTCATGGTCAATATGCAAATGCTGAGAGCAAAACTGAAAATACTAGATGTATCATATGGAACAGGGACAGGTAGGGCTTTTAAACTCTGAGACCTGTGCATTGCTCTGAAAACCTTTTAGTAACTTGAGGAGGACCTCTTAAAAGTGTTTTGTTAGCAGTTTTGAGCATGATGGTGCAATATGTGGTGGGCTTCTATGCATATGTTAGTCGATTCTTCTGGATGACTGCTTATGCAGTTTAATTCGATGTTGACTCGTTGAGACCTAGCAAAAGAAAATAGTTGAGACTGTCCTAAGCAGTCGAGGAATGTCCACATGCCATCATCATATGTCCATGGTTCTTGCCAATTCTATCTTGGCGATCAAAGAACAAACATCTCTGTACGGTACAATGCATTATCCTCTTTCCTGATTGAGAGACACATATAGAGCCTCACTTGGAACCATATCCATACAATTATGCCTAGTTTGGGACTTCCATGCAGTTTTCTGTAACAAATATGAAAATTAACTGCTTTATGCTCGATTCCAGGCAATACTGCACTCATATATCACCATGGAAAACTCTTGGCGCTTTCAGAGGCCGATAAACCTTGTAAAACTCCAAGTTCTCTGTGCCCTTCCTCCTTTTGGTGACCTTTGTTAGTTTACAGTGGGGAGCTAAAGTTTGTGATTTTGTGCAGATGTCCTCAAGGTTTTGGAAGATGGCGACTTGCAGACTCTTGGAATGCTTGATTATGATAAGAGACTTGCCCATTCTTTTACAGCCCATCCAAAGGTCGATCCTTTCACAGGTAATTCCGAGCTCCTAACAGTCCAGTCAGTTTCTTCTATTCAGGGAAAATGCTGTAACTTATGCTTGTTGGTGCAGGAGAGATGTTCACCTTTGGCTATTCGCATACACCGCCATATATCACCTACAGGGTTATTTCAAAAGATGGATTCATGCATGATCCAGTACCAATTACCATTTCAGATCCCATCATGATGCATGACTTTGCCATTACAGAAAATTATGCAATTTTCTTGGATCTTCCTCTTTATTTCAGGCCCAAGGTATGGTAACATATAAGTACAAAAGCTTTATGAGAATCACTTCTCAGACTAGAGCCAATTACAGCAGATAATGGGTCTTAGATGAAACTTTGAAATTCTTAAAATGAGAGCAAATTATTGGCCTAAACTCTCTGGATTCTATTCAAATATCAGGGGAGAGTATTGCTGATCACAATAGTTATGTCATCTTTTTCATCTTAAATTTTGTTTGATGTTCCTAATGCCCCACCTTAAATTGCTATACTGTTTGTATGATACATGCCATATATTGTTTACCATAGAAAATGATCATGACTGTATGTTCTCCGATTATGTTGACAGGAAATGGTTAAAGATAACAAGCTAATATTTACATTTGATGCAACCAAAAAATCTCGCTTTGGGGTACTTCCGCGATATGCAAAGAACGAGCTTCAAATCAGATGGTTTGAGCTTCCAAACTGCTTCATTTTTCACAATGGTGCATCTTCTTGACCATCCTTGTTTTTTATAGCGAGATAAACTTTATAGGCCATTCTTGTTTGTTAGGAGCCATAGATCTTGGGTTGATTTTTGTACTGTATGAGGAAAAGTTTGGATAGTATGCTCACGGCCTTTTGAGTCAGTTAATTTGACATTTAGATATTTAAAGGCATCTTGTCTTCACCTTCTACTTTTTCTATGATTCCTTTGAGCTTTGAAAATTCTGGCAATAACTTGCACATTGTAGTAGTGCAATGGTGGTGAGGAGTCTATTAGTTAGGCTATTGAAACTTCTATTCTGGCCAAGTTTTTCCTTGTACTGTTGTTATTTTGCCACTGGCATGAGCAACGTTGAATATTTATGGTGTTTTGCTGCTATCAGTAAATCCAGTAGTTTATTAATACCGTAACTCTGGTTTTCCCTTCTCCTTAATGACTAAATTGGCTGTTTACTTCCAGCCAATGCATGGGAGGAGGAAGATGAAGTTGTTTTGATTACTTGCCGCCTTGAGAATCCTGATCTGGACATGGTCAATGGGACTGTTAAGGAAAAGCTCGAGAATTTCACAAATGAACTGTAAGAAAAACTGTGATCTGATTATGCCCTGCCAAATGCTCTTTTTAAATTCCGACGTTTTAAAAAAATTTCGACTGTTTTTTTTCCTTTTGTCAATCAGGTATGAAATGAGATTCAACATGAAAACTGGCCTGGCTTCACAAAAGAAGCGGTCAGCACCTGCGGTTGATTTTCCGAGGATAAATGAGTGCTACACTGGCAGGTATCACTTTAATTCAGGTCCATGAATGGTTGTTTAGGGAAAATTTCATTTGGATTTACAAAGCGACATGAATGTTTGCAATGAGCGAGAAAATGCTGAAAGGCCATTACTGCAACCTGAGGTCAAGAAATCCTATATCTGCTCTTAATCATTGTAGAATATCTTATCATTATTTTGTCAGTCAGCGTTATTCCATTTCTGTATTTCTTACTTCAGCCATCTTTTGGGTGCCTAGGAAACAAAGATATGTGTATGGAACCATTCTGGACAGCATTGCAAAGGTTACTGGAATTGTGAAATTTGATCTGCACACTGAGCCAGAGGAAGGAAAAAAGAAGATTGAGGTTGGAGGAAATGTTAATGGTGTCTTTGACCTGGGACGAGGTAGATTTGGTTCTGAAGCTATTTTTGTCCCTCGAGAGCCTGGCATCACTTCTGAAGAAGATGATGGGTACCTGATATTCTTCGTGCATGATGAAAACACAGGGTATTTTGCTCATCCTTTTCTCACCATTGATCCAGTTAATCTTTAGACCTCCCACTCTTTTGGCAAATCTCACTGGTGCTGCACTGCAAGAAAACGATGGCCCCTATAGTTCAAGGAGGATGATGAGAACATGGACTGATGTTTGTTCAATAAATGTGCAGGAAGTCGGCAGTAAATGTAATTGATGCGAAAAACATGTCATCTGATCCTGTTGCTGTTGTTGAATTACCCCACAGGGTTCCTTTTGGCTTCCATGCCTTCTTCGTGACTGAGGTTAGTAAGTTTTTCCATATTTTTAGTATAATTTCTGCTTCCGAATGTTTTTGCTCTCTCACTGGCTATCTTTTTCATATTGCACACTCCCCACTTTTTATCACTTCCACTTTGGCTCTCCTAGAAACATTTCTATAAATTGCAGTAGGAATTAAGTTAGAGAGAGTTGTCTTCATCCTAGCATTTGAAATAGTCAGCGTGTTGTCTCGTATGTTTTGTTCCAGTTGAGTGACATATTTTCATCCAGTGGTATTGCCATTAATCTCAATTATTTGTACTTGTACTTGGATTTGTTGCATAAGAACTTTCCACGACTGACACCTGCCAGCGTGTCCCGACTTCTCAGATTATGAATGAAATTCTCATGAAGGATACTAGGAGAACTTGTTGCTATTTGTTCCTATTTGTCTGGCGTTAGTTCCCAACAGCTAGGATCCTTGCCATATTCATTGGTCTTTATGATTATTGTGCAGGAACAACTTCAGGAACTGGCTAAGCTGTGAGTCTCCACATGCATGAATAGTTACGAATGCAGATGTTGCAGGGGGGAGGCATGTCTCTGTAAAGCTGCTACAATTGATGTAATTGTATGATATTACACGAACAAATATTTTATGCTAAATATAATGGAAATATAAAGAATGGCATTTTATGCTAATTATAATGGAAATATAAAGAACGGAGACCATTATCTATGACATACTCATTGTCATTAAAGGCCACGTTATATCATAGAAATTGGACCTTTTGATTTAAGGTAGCGTTTTAGTGATAATTTGTTGGTGCGACAACATAATTCACGTATGTTCTCTTCAAATACAACCCACTTTTCACAATACAGGTTGATGAATCTTGCGAATCTCAGGTGCAATATTGTAAGTGAAATAGTGAAATGGATAATACCGATTCTTATGTTTTTGTAAACTGTTTTACCACCACCGTACCTTCATTGGATGAATGCGCTCCTAAAGTTTTGTCGCTACAGCGATTAAGTTCTTCCAATTCTGGTCAAGCCTGATGATACACAAAATGACAAAATTGACATTGGCAAAAAGTTGAATCCTGCTAATTATTCTATTTCTTTTCTTGGACCTTTTAACTGCTCTCAATAGTCAATATACTTGGCCAAACTGCTTGATTCTTGAGACGTGTGGTATTCTGTATCCTCCTGCGTGAAATACTTTGAAGTTGGAAAATAATCTAGGTCCAATAATCCCAAATACACCCACCAAAACACGTAATTCAGTGATTAAATTCCTCAAAACACGTAGTATTGCACGGCAGAGCATGCACAACACTGATCAATCATGAAACTTTCGAGTGTTAGACTAGAAACTTTCAAGTGTTAGACATAAAACACAGCATAAATAACCTCGTCCCAAGATCCTCAGAAACATGAACAGGAGAGATTATTCAAACATCCACTATAACAACTGCTGGCAACTTGATAAGCCAGCCAGTGGGAACTCTCTTCCTTAAGAGCAAGAAATTTAAAGAAAATGTATCAGCCAAGAATGAATTGCCGGAGCACAGCAAACTGAGGGTTCCTCCATTTGGGAAAGATGTATATCTGCAACCTTCACCTTGCACACATCTGCTATTTCTGATGGAAATAAAAGACGATAGCGCAAGCAATGTGGAGCTCCATGGGACCCCCATGCAGAGAGGTTTCACTATTTGTAGGCCCCATTAGGACCCTCATATAGCTGCAAGGTTTCCTTCTCCACACCAAGGCAGCTCATACCCTTGTATTCAATAGCATCTGAATGGTGCGAAGATGAGAGTCCATTGGCACTAGCATTCCCATTAGAGGAAGTGTAGAGCCTCAGCATGTCTCCTGTTGAATCTGCTCTCGCGGACCTAGTGTGAAAGCCTTGAGAAGTTGATGTCTTGACAAATTGTGTTGGCAGATCTACACTGGGGTTCACAGCTTTCTCTGATGCGAGGCTGGAATCATCAATGTCCTGCTTTTTCGTGTTAAGAAAGCGGCCTCCAGAACCCCTTGGTCTTCTCATTGCATGCTGGTGTCGTGACTCATGGAGATATGGCTATAAAAGACAGAACTTATATTATGGAACCTTTCATTATTGAGTTAAGGTACCTTTAAATAATTTAAGGGAATGTCTCTGAAGAAATTGGCAAATCCTGTAAATTTCAGAAGTAAGCATTACCTTTCTGCCCTTTAAGGCTTTTCTCTCCAGTTCAGCCTTTGCCCGTAACCTTCTCCGCCTCAGAATACCATGATATTGCTTAGCATTTACATATACTGGCTCCTCAGCCATTTCAAGGGGCAAAGGCATTCTACCATGAACCCCATAAAGATGCGGTACCTACAGTTGAACCGAAATTTCGGAGGAGTTTATAATCCACAAAATATGGAGGATAAATTACTTTGACGTCATATCAATTTTGGGAAAGTGCAATCAAACCACTTTAACTTTAGAAATATGACAGTGATCCCTCTTGAACTTAACAAAAATTCAGCTCTAACATTTTCTTAAGAAAATTGTTGGACCCAAAATAATGAAAATATGAAAAAGTACATTTATAAGGCTAATTGAACTAGGTTACTGACATAATTCGTTTTTTTATTAATTTTGATACATTGTTCAATGGATCATGACCGTTCATATGGGATAATCAGATAGTCACACGAACTTCACTATTTATTACAAAGTGCTGATATATTGAACCACGCCATTAGTCGACAGTGTCCTTGGAAATTACACTTCAAAGGTCTTGATTAAGAAAAATTAGCATATTTCAGCCCCTTTCGAGACCAATGCCTTTTGATTGGGGAGGCCACAGTCATTTCTAGAAACGATTCAAGGGGTAGTATATATTATTGAGAAGTAACGATCGTTTGAATGGCATGATATGTGAAGCAATCAAGTGTCCCGCCAAAACTGGATGTGAACAACATAATTCATATTTTTTAGACTTGAGCAATATAAACAAGTATAAATCGAGCATCAATCAAGGCTCATAAATTAGAAAAATTTCATATTAGAGTGGGCATACCATGGCTTGAGGTCCATAGGAAGAAGTCAGAGGACCAACAAATTGCGGATCTGAATAGAGAGATGAGGTCAGAACCTGCAACTAAAGAAAATTTAAGTAACAGAATGAAGGCAACATTTATGTCTTAAATTATCCTTGCAACTAAATTCTTCCAGACGGATTTATTGTTATGCAAAATTAAGAGTCCACGTATGAAAATATAGATGCACATGGATGACTTACAATTGAGTGACCTACAAGTTCCATGGGGGAATTCACTCCAAGGTGTTCACCAGTTGAAAGAGTCGTTGACGATACAACACTCTTAGCATGTTTCTCCTCTTGCCCATTACTCCCATCTGCCAAAGACTGAATTTCATTGCAAAGAAATGATAGCTCACACAAAATATTGAAGAAAACTAAATCAATTTTTGTTGAAGTACAGCCGAATCACATATATAGGAAAAGGATGGTATTATCAAAGATACAACTTCACAGAAGAAGACAAATAATGACTTCAATCAATCTCATATGTTGGAAGTGCTTCATACAGTGTTTTGCCCCAAGTTGCAAAAGAGGAAAACATTTCTTCTCGTAATATCGACATCCCATAACCAATTATAGAAAGAGGATAGTACAATATTCGACTGAAATAATAAGATCAAAGTCACTGCTCTAAAAAAATAAAGTATAAGGATATTAAGATCAAAGTCACCATTCCATAAGAAGAAAGTACAAGGTATAACTCGGATTATAACTGTGAATAATTCCATATATAGTATTTTTAGCCTGAAGTAATCTGCCCTTATAAACAAGGTTGTTTCAGAATTCTGAGGGAGGACGAATCTAACACAATACAATTTCTCCCAGACAAAAAAAGAGAGAAGGACTCTAATATCTCTCATTAGATTTGGCATAACCAGTATCAAGGCTCTAAATGAGTCTATAGTACCTTCAGTTGTAACTGAAATACTGTTTCTAGCTCCATGCCACCAAGGTTGCACACACAGCGAAGAGTGCGAAATGCTTTGAGTTCCTTGTTCTAACTGTGGATCTATATTTTCGGCCCTCCCCGGCATCACTAACATCTCTGCAAGAAAGGTTATATAGGCCTTTCATGTGCACTGTGAATAGCTAAATGAAAGAAACTAAAAGAAAGGATAAGTATAAAAATCACCCATGAACAATCCTGCGAACGAAGGGAAAAAGTACAACCAATTACTCACAGTTCAAGGGATCGAGAGCAGTACCATCCATCTCACCATTAACTTTCTAAATGAAAAGTTCTGTACTTTTTTTTTTTAAAAGTTCATTTGTCTGGATAAAATAAACGATTATTACGATATAATTTATCCTGCTGTAGCAAAGCCCTAAAGTCTACCGCCCACAAAAGGATTTGAAGCAACCACTTTGGCAATCACTGCAGCAGCAATTTTCAGATTCTGTACCTACCCATTAATGAACTTAGAAAGACATAGATCAACATGGTTGTATACTCGTGATGAGGTCCACAAATACTACATGAGGTAATCAAACTAACAAAGTTTAGACGAAAGTAGGAAGAACAGTAAGCTAACAATTACCGGAAAAAACGCCCTCTCAGGTCATCGATGCAGACAACTGCTTTAGAACCACTTGGGACTTTGATTAGCGATCAAATTCAGACCACCCCCATCGACTCAAAAAGAAAAAAGGAAAAGATCCAAATTTCGGGACACTTCCATTTCAGCAGCAAGACTCCGTTTTTAACTGCTTCTGGTAAAGAAGAGAAGCAGCCGAAGTCCAATGCATCCAGTGATTCAACCCCAAGTAAAACTCGAAAAGAAAGTCGTTGACTCACTGCGATTTCAGAAGGTCCACCACAAAAAATTGCCGAAATCCAAGAGATATAGCGAACTACGCTCCAGGAAGCGAAGCGCCGAAACTAATGGGAAACCACGAGCTACGGATAGATGCCAACAGAAAGTTAACGGAACTCACCAACTCCTTCAACGACTCGTTTCTTGAAGTAAGTTCGAACAGGGAGAAGTGGGGAAGCGGGTCTCGCCGTGGAACAGAGAGGACGGAGGTCTTGAAGCCCTTAGACCGGAGGAAGGGCAGGAAGGAAGACGATGATGGTCAAGGGCATGGGGGAAATTGAAGCCATCGCTCTCTGCATCCTCCGAAGAGACAGTGGCATTTGACCCCACCCTCCCACCACCTTCTCTTATGTTTTTGATGTTGGGGAAATTGTTTGTCGTGGTTAATGATGATTGGGGGTGATGACGACTGCTTCGATTAGTTGTCTTTTCTCTTGAAAAATTGGTTTTTTTTTTTTCTTCTTTTCTTTTCTCTTGGGGGAGTTCTTGTTTGTTGTTGACGCAAAGGTTTTAGGTGGTTGTTGTCAAGGAAGAGAGAGGAGAGGAGAGGAAACAAATGAAACGTAGGAACCGGGGCAAATTGACAATTTTCGTTACTTTCTCGCCCTCGATTTGATAATTTTGCATTTCTTGTTGTCTCCCTCCCCCATTGACTTGGACAAAAATAAGAAGAAGGGTCTCTTTCCTCCTGTCAATCTCATCTCACCTTAGGCACAGTGCCGATGATTTTCCATCCTTTCTCCGCTTTTTTTCCTTCTCTTTTCCAATCCTCTTGTTGGGGGTTTGGTAGAGGTAGAATTTTCTTGGCCGAGAAAATTCATTTTTCCATTGACATGTGCTCACCGAGAAGTAAATTTTCGTCCTTTCTTTTTCTGTAGTTTTCACTTGGAGAGAGAATCGTTGCTTAAAGAACAAGGAGGGGAAGGAGTCCAAGAAAGGAGTGAACATTTGGCAATGTTCAAATCAAGAAAACGATCTTGAAAGGGCAAACAGGTTTGGTGTCAGCATCCCCTTTGCGGGTTCCATCATTAGCTGCAAAATCCATCGCACCAATCACCAGACTTCACCTTGATGATTCTTGGGTGCATAAGGGCACCGACAAGAAACTCAAATTTCATTGCACGTTTCATCATTGTGTTTGAAGCGGAATAAACCTTTGCTTGCTCCAGTCGTATTAAGTCGCTCATTGTTGGGTTCTGTTACTTTTCGGTCTTCGTCCCAATCATAAGCTTCTTCTTCTTTTCTCTCTCCCCCTTCTCCTTTGGCCTTTTCACATGTCAAATTAGTAAAGGTTTGACACAATTCGCTAAATCCTTTGCAAAAGCAATGATGGAACATTATGCCATTGGACCTCCTAAGCTGAGAATAAGACGAACCCAAGCTTCAAACACTCCCTCAAACTTGGAATGTACTCGTGCTGTGTGGGATAGGAGGTCAAATGCTCACTTCAGACTAATCGGGAGATGGACAATGACCCCAAGAAAGCGCACAAGAAACAATGAAAATAAATCTTGGGGCTTACGGCTGCAAGATTGCCATCTCCTATGACCTATATAATTCTATTGCTCACAAATGACTCATCCAAAGACAAATGTGTTCAGAGGAAGACACATGGCATTCGGCAGATGATGGGATGACCCAGCAGGCAATGCCGGCTGGCAGGCTGATGTCTGGTGTTTGGTAATAAGGGAACAAAAACAGACCCTCGTTGAATGATACTAATATCCTCAAATATTGTTTTTCTAGAAGATTTGGGCCCAGTAAGGCAAACCAGTAAGAGCACAATAGTCCATAAAAATCAAGTACAGACTAGAGATTACAGGCGCTTTTGTTCTTTTCCCTGGCGTGCATAGAGCATTGGGGTTCCCCTTCACTGCTTCAGCTCAATTTGGATTAGTAGGCCACTCAGTCAACTCTTCAGTCCAAGCCCACCACAGTTACAAGCATCCCTCTACTGATCTCAAGTAGGGGTGAACATAATTTCAAAGTAGAACCTGAAATATAAAAGCCTGACCAGTGAGAATATGTAGGTTTCAAGGTATGAATGATAAGTTCCTACTTCTAAAAATTGAGGAACTTCTTTTGATGAGTAGGTTCCAGATTTAGGTAGGTGAAACCTAAAACCTTAAATAAGTTTTTTGTGTTTTCTTTTTTGTCTGTCTTCGCGTGATCCTGTGATGTTCCACGGCATTAGATGATAAGTGTATAATTTGAAATCACTAATTTAAGCTTTCATTTTATGACTTGTTAATGTTTCATGTTTTTTGTATCTGTAAATATAAATTATGGTCAGCGAATCGTAACAAGTGATGGTCATTAAAAGTGATGATTCATTACAATTGTTTAATTGATAATATGGATGGAACCTAGATAGACCCTGAAAACGATCCTAAAACCTATGACAGGGTAGGTTCCAAATTTCAACTTATGTAAGGTAAGTTCTATGTTCCAAAAAATGAGGAATCTGTTCTTATGGGTATGTTCCAAGTTCTAGGTAAAACCTGTATGAAATCTGGAACCGCTCACCCCTAATCTCAGCAGTATTAGATTCTCCTGGGGCTGACTTGTAAAGGAATTACTCCAGAAATTTCATCCAATACCATCTCTACAACAACCAACGAAAGGGGTTTCCGGGCGAGTAGATATCATACTACCATTGTAAATCACGGGATCTATGGTAATGTAAGTAAACTTCAACGATACTTTACATATCTAAGTTTTCACAGTTTTGTGCAGTCTATCTATGTTGCTGTAACAGCAGTCTTATGGGACCATTTTCTTCACTTGGTAGAAAGGATAGTTTGAAGTGCATACAAAGTATACCAGCACAGTTAAACCATGGCCATCAGACGCTCTATTATTCCAAAATTAACCATCTGATTCCTTCAGGTTATATCATGGAAACATTCCTTGGAGAAACTCGTCAAAATTCTCATCATCATCATCATCATCATCAGTTTTATGCTTGCCCCTCGAACTAGAAGCCTTTTTCCCTGCACAAAAAAAAAAAAAAAAAAATGAAAGTGGGGGTATGATGAGTGCGGCGATTATAAAAGAGGCATAATTCTAAGTATGTGAATCTCAAACATGAAGTTGTCCAGCTCCATGGACATACTGTGGGCCTAATTTCAGGAAAATGCGGAGCATCACTTCCTTAAACAGTCAGAGCGTAACAGGCTACATGGTACGGCAATTGAGGTTCAACAAACTTACACATAAAACTCAGTGGTCAGCCTGTTGAATGCAATCAGCAAACCAACTAGTTTACTCTTGTAAATGTCACCTCCATTTTCAAGAACAGGGAGAAATAAAAAAAAAAAAAGGACTAACGTGCATGTCCTGCAATACACATTACAGAAACAGAAAAAGTAGGTCAAAAGCAAAACCTTTCCTCCTGCTTGCTTCTCTCTCTTCACATCCACAATCTGTATCATCATCAATCCCAGATTGATCCCTGAAAGGCAATGTAAGATTCTATTATGCTCTAAGCAAAGCTATAAGGGTAAATCATCATTCAGCTCACTATAGCAAAGCTGGGACCTCTTTCTTTTGCTTTCACTGTTTGCCAGCTTCACCAATTTCTCCTCCTCTTTCCTGTCCATTAACTCCTTCTCTTTTCGCTTCTTGTAATGAAGCTTATCTGCACATCTATTGTCATCAACAACAAAGGCATGCATCGCAAGTGAATATGTATAGAAGGTATTTTCTAATCAAAGGTTATACACCGCATCCAGATTCACAACAAGGTTAAGGAAGAACAAAGCATTGACAGAAATAAAGTCTCTGGAAATCATGCAACAAGCCATGTAGGCATGTTCTTCCTGTCGCAACAGCAGCACATGGACTAAGAATACACTCTCAAATTTCATGTAATGGAAGAGATCCAAGACTGAACAGTCCAATTCACTCTCCCAATATTAAAAAAATAGATAGAGAACGAGGCACACAAGCAAGCACTGGCATTTGTTGCCTTCATCAACACATATTCCACAACATTAAATTAGCAATTTGTCGATCAAGTAAACTAAAGAACTTCATGTTAGGAGATAAAAAGTGATCTCCACGGACCTCTCACAAGTTACCAATTTCACCAAGGCTTGTTTGTTTTCCCCTGCTTCAAAATAAGAAAAGTTCACCTGCCATGTAACATCAAAATATCTAACTGTAAGAGGTTCTGCCACAAGTTTACCAACATAGCAGAGTCTGAAGACTTAAAAAAAAATTCCAACATCATGAGCAAAATTCTGAGATTTACTTCTTCTACAGTTCTAGTAACTTGGGAAGGTAACAAGGAGAGGAGAGTGAGTTCTCATCCTGCATCCCCTTGACTAAGTGAAGATGTACGTTAGTGAATGCTGGAGAAATCAACAGGCCAAAGGAATGACACAAGAATTAGGACAGGTTTCTAAAGCTAATTGCACAATTCAGGCACATAGTGAATGAGCAAATCAATATTTGCACAATTCAACAAGTTCAATTATGGTCATCAGCCTAAAAAATGAATGAAAAACTGGGTGTATGTTATGGCTGGTATGCCAATAGAATCACGTGCATCCAACCTAGACCTGCAACAGTAGTAGGAAAAAACGCATGTTTGTGAATTGTGCAGATGATGATAGCACAATCAATCATGTCTCGGCACTAATAAGACTACCTAAATAATTCCCTCAAAAAGCTACACATTGTTCGTTTTGCTTCAGTTTGGAGTACCTTAGCTTCATTAGGAAGAAACGAAAGATAATCCACAACAAAGGCTGGGATAAAAACAATGTTCTGAAGTGAAATATTCGGTGTTTGAAAGAGGAAAGAAAATGGACTGAAGGGAAGTTAAGGTAGAATATGAGATCTCTGCAGATTAAAGGTAAAGACCAGAAGAAAATATAGCAATTCTGCTTCTGTTTCATCCCTCTTTATGGCATCCTCATACATCAATTGAATGTATGTGTATTTCCATCTATATACATTAATACTACATGAACCTTTATTCCTCCTATAAGCCTTTAATCATGTCGTATTTTCTCCAATCTTCACAATTAGTTCACCCAACATTTCTTCCCTTTCCTACTCTTTTCCCAAACAAATCATCAAGGAGAAGGTTAGCACCAAGATCAATCAGGAAAACTAGCAAAAAACACTTGCCTCATAGCTTGCAAGGCCATCCGTCTCATCACAATGTTTGTTACCACACATGAACTGCCCTGGCAGAAGAGGATGTCAAGAGTCTACTTTCCAACCACAAATGATATCTTTGCTAACAAACTAAGATGACAAAACATGGCACTATGACTTTTAGCCCAGTGGGAGGCAAATTCAGCAGTTTCCTATAAAATGTTCTTTTGATGCAAACTCTCTTTGTATAGATGGAATGACTTTTTTCATGTGAACAAAATACACGAAAAGAAGTGAGAAGCATGATAGGGAAAACATCAAAACAATGTTGAGCATTCCACCAAACTCGCATTTATTGTCATATTACATTCCTAAATTTGGCATGCTGGACTTTTGCCACCGCACAACATATTTTCCATTGGAGAATCAAAATATACTAGATCTGAAACCTACTCTCCAAGTTCACCTATTTGACATAAGGCATATGTATATGTCATTGTGATATACAAGCTACCACCTCATACACATGTATCATACGTCAACAAAATAAATCGGTCCAGATTAACAACGATTTAAGATAAAAGCATTGTGCACTGGACAGCCATTTTAAGTTAAAAGCCTTAGCAAAAATGCAAGCACTAATTCCCATTTACAAAAATGCGAATAATTATGTAAAACAAAAGGGAATGATGATGGCAGAGATATAGATAGTTTTCCTACACTAACCAAGTTGAAAAAAATATGTACCTTTTCCAGATATGACTTCTTTCTCTGTCCTCCATCTTAGACCAATCTAGTGAAGAACAAACAACTGGATGTCAAATATAATGGAGACAAAGGGGAATGAAGCGTTAAGATACAAAAAGAAATGCTTCTTTTATGGCTAAAGCTGCTTAAACATGATTACTGACAGCACCCCATTTTTCCTATGTCCTAGCTTCCTCCCAGCAACCTTCAGTAATTGATGGTCAATCCATACCCAGCCAACTGAAGCATCACGTAGCTTGAAACAGAAATTGCTTTTATTGAATTAAGTTTCCAGAAACTAAAGTCATCACTAGACTTTCCTCTTTCATGGGAAATAGCAAGCTTGTCAAGAAGTTACATGTGATGTTAGAAATGTTTTTGTGTCCACAAGAGATAACAGACGAAGAGATTGAATCCAATAAACTGATACAACAATCTTAAAGAAATGGTGTTAACCAAAATACTCTTACTCAACCATGGCAAACATCAGTATAAAAAACTTTAAAAAGCCAAAGAACTGTTTGTCCATATCCTTTAAAGATTCAAGCTTTCTAGAAAGAGCAATAGCATTCAAAGTGGGCATGCATAGGTTCAAATTATTGAAAGCAGCAGAATGATTTTACAAATGTATAAGGATGGGTTCACCTTGCCACTTTTGTACTTCGTCATATCAGCTATGCAGTATCTGCAAACATGTTAAGGGAGGAACCCATGATAGCAGTATAGAAGAACCATAAAAGCGCAGAACATCAATGGAGCATCTAATTATGCATTAATATTTTCCCATCTAGACAAAGTCAACACAATGTCACTGAATTAGCAACCAACATGAAAATTAAAATAATGTCAAGAATGATGCACTGAAAAGACGGTTGACCTTACAAATGAACAGACTACAAACATGAAGTTTTGAAGGGATGGAAGTGTCAACAAAAACTTATATAGATCTACCAGTGATGCCATGACTAACTAAGATCGCACAAGGCCCAAATAGCAATTGGCAGCAAAATTTCTCTCAGATGTCAACCCTCTCTATCCTCCTGGCCATGGGCAGATGTGGAGCTATGATATGGTTATGTTAGGAGCAACCAAGGCTACAGAAAAGCCTGCCATTTCTACCATGCATGCCCACTTTAAGAGGCTATGTTTATGCTTCTTGAACATCTGTCCGACACACTTCACTATATTTTTTGACCTCAGCCACCTTATTTAACAAGCCATCAAGAAGCAAGAGCATAAGCCACCCAAACAGGCGTAAAATCACTCTGTCGGGCATCCTCGTCATTAAACGGTTTTAAAGCCACTAAAGGAAAAGTACAGTGAGCAGAATTCAGCATCGATCCTTCCTCTTCTACGATGGACACTGGATGCTAATTTATACATCTATGAAAGCTACACTGACTCATGACACACTCCCACAGAAAGATATGCATCACACTTCCAGATATACCCCACTTATGATTCTCCCTAGAGCCGATGTTAGCTTCCAACAAGTGAAGCAAGAAGACTTTAACAAGGCACATATATGGTTCCAACAAAATTAGAGTGCTATCGATGTATGGCAAGCAAAAAGAAATCAAGTTGCACAATTGTCTCTTATTTGAAGAGGCAAATGTCTAACCAGCATAAGCGTTGATCGGCTCTATGAACGATGAAACAATCACACAAGGGAAAAAGTAATTATCAGTTTCAGAGTAGAAGATATGTCACATTGGCAACCCTGATTAATGACCATGATGGTACATGCAGTAGACATTCATCTTCAAAGTCTCTTCCATATGCACAATCAACAGCATGATTTTGGAAAGACACCAAACAGTAACAACATAAAAGCAAGCATGAGACAATTTTAATCCGATGTACAAGTAGCATGAAAAGTATGGGCAAGAAAACCGGATCCTATATAAGAAATGCATAAAATAGTCTCAAAGTATGTGACAGATGGTAACTAGACAGGATACTCTTTGAAAAGCTTGGCGTAGTAACGCTTCACCAATCTTTGCTCCCAAGATGAATCCATATCATCTTCCTCTGTTCGTATAAACCTAAATCAATCAATTAATTATTGTATTAAAATAAATCTGAGGTAAATATGGCCTTGATAAAAAGCGCCGAAATCGATAGATGCATACACTGAAGTGCAAGAGAAGAAAAGTCAAAGATAGTTGAAAAGACCATCCATATAAACCGAACAAACTCCCAACTAATAGCTCATGATTCCTAGCAAACTGTTAAGAGATACCAAATGGAAGAACCAGTAGCAGCTCAAACCATCACTTCATTCAATCTAACATACATGAGCAAAACAACATCATACAAAACCATGAAGTGGAGATGAGTTGAATAAATATTCACTGTTACCAGGACTTACACAAATGATACCATAAGCTTGTGAACATCAGCAAACATTAAGAACCATGAGTAAAAGTCATCGGCAGTGGTACGTTCTATGTAGCCTCTGATTCACTGAGGAGGAAAACGAAATTTAAGAACCATGAGTCATGGATGTGTTTTCATGAAGATGGAATGCCTGCCAACATTGATGCATTTCACTTTGATCATATGCCCTCTCTCTTAAGTCATAGTCCTCAATACAAGTATAATTAGTGCTTCAGAACAAAATAAACACAACTAGCACCCTCTGGCTCAAAATAGCAAATATTGCATATCCAAAATGCTATGAAAACGTATAGGGACACAAGATGAAAATACCTATAGCCTTCTCGTAGAGTATCTTGATCAGTTTTAACTGGCAAATTAGCTTGTGCTGATCTTTCTTTGCCATAGAAAGTAACTGCAAAACCCGTAAGATGGTAAGCTGGGACTTTGCCCACAAGGAAATAGCAAGCATACCTCTATAATTGGAATGCTCGAATATGGTGAACACCCGTATCACCATAAGAATTAACATTGCCGAAAATAAGAACCTAAGATGAACTCTACCCAAAAGAATTAATATGTGAGGATAAGAAGCTCGATATTTGCTGTGGGACTATTCTTCACAAAAAGGACTATTCTTTATCCATTTACTGTGGGACACCACGAACCTACAAATAAGAAGCTCGATATTTGCACTCTTTCTTGGCATCCAACTTCAGCAGACAACTAAGTCCCACTTAACTAAATCCTTACACAGAATTATTGTAGAGAACAAGGATAGAAGCCCTGTCGGAATTGCATCGACATTGAAGACGAGAATATGAGGATGACTGTAGCCCCCATCCTTCTAATTGGAGGGGACTGTTCATCATCCTATTCATATAGGACCACGGGAAAACCACACATCAATAGCTCTTAATGTGTATCGTTACATGTAGTCCAGCTCTAGAGCAAAACATACGGCTTACCCAATCACACCACAAACTCAAACTTGAGCTGTAACTAGCTAGTACGCAGAGAACTTCCGCGGACACGACACTACCTAAATAAAAAATTTCAGCAACCCACATACAAAAGCCGAATTCCCATTCTATCAGAGGGAGATGCCAGACAAGAAAGAAGCCACGCGCACCGTAATCATCGACGAACTTCTTGTGCCGGTCGTACGCATTGAGACCTCTGATATGAGCTTGGTATTGCCTGAAAAATGAATCAAGATAGCACATAAGAAGTGCACAAAACACGAGCACGAGAGCACGAGGACGAAATCCCAACATCGGGGGAGGCAGGAAGTTGCGGGAAAACATACTGCTTTCTCTCTTCTCTGTCGAATATCTGCGACTTGAGAGAGCCCAAAGACGACATCTTGGTTCTTCTTCCTCGGTCGCTCCGAATCTCGCTCGTTCGCGGCAATCAGCGAGAGGCACGGTCGCAAGAAGAACACTCCATGTTTGAATTGACCCTAAATTGCTCGAAACTCGCCCCCCGAAACCGATATGCTGCCGTTTCCCGGGAGGGCGGCGGGGTGCTTCGCTTTTTTGTTTAAGAGAAGTTTTTCTTATTCCGGAAAATGGGAGATGGCCTCGAAATACCTCTCCTCCATTTCTTCTGCTTCCCTCATTCGTGATCACGCCCCCATCGAGATTAAAATTATTATAGTGATGTAATTATATAAATGACCCCTAAACTTTGATTCAATATTCGGCGTTATTTTTAAATTTTTAATTTATTCAATATGATTCATGAACTTTAATCAAATGAGCAATATCGTTCCTAAATTTTTGATTTGTTTCATATGATTTTTGATTTTTTTTTGTAAATGTTCAGTTCAGTTCCTAACTTATATGAAAAATATCTAGTGTTATTTTTCATTAATTCAAGTTAACGGAATTTGCTAATTGGCTTTTAATCCCGTAAGTTTGAATGGTGGAGATCATTTTTGTCATTTTTGTTTTGTTAATTTTCAGCCACCACGAGAGTCTTGATCCACGTGTAACTTTTTTTGTCTACCGTTCAAACATAGAAAGTAAGATCCGCAAATTCCGTTATCTTGAATGAATGGAAGGATAATATCGAATATTTTTACATAGTTCGAGAATTAAATTGAATACGTACCGAAAAAATAATAATCATATCGGGACGACAATACACGTTGAATCAAAGTTTGAAATCCATTTTTATCAATTTCTTTCTGTTAATTTTCCTGGAAAATGGCAGATCGCCTCAAATTACATCCAAATTGACCGAAAAGAAAAACAGAAGAAACTCCTCCCTCCTCCAGGCCAGCTCTAGTCTTTCCCCGGCTACCGACACGCCCTCCACAAGATCGAAATTTTAAATGAAAGAAGACCCTTTTTTCATGAACACCTCGTGCTTTTGCTATTCCCTTCTCTAGCAAATTTTTTTAACAGGAAAAATCCAGTCAATGGGGTGGTTGCCCCGCGTCTTCTTTGGGGAAACGTCACATCAGTAGTTGGACGATTACAAGATCGGATGACAAAACAGACAACGAGAGAGAGAGAGAGAGCGATGATTATGATTGATTGGGGGGAGTTACAACATATGATCAGATGGCCAGTTTCTCTCATTGCCGTTTCATCTGTCGGTGGTGGCTTTGTCATGGATTATACAATACAGCTGCTGCTCTGTCGCTTTCGGCCATTTTCCTTCGTCTAACCCTTTTGCAAGTTACGAACTTGGAATTTCCCACCCATTAATCGGAGGATTTACTACAGCTGGGCTCCGACACTCGGAGAGAGAGAGAGAGACAGAGAGAGTGAGGGGAGTTAAAAAAATGATTTTTTTTTCCTTTTACGCTCTGATTAAAGCGATTAAAATACGGAAATGAATGAATTATAGCACTGCCGCTGGTGGGTACATCGCCATCGCGTCGCATCTACAAAGCGTTGAGCGAGAGAACCAGAGGAGCGACAGCTAGCGCTTCCCCTGCACACAGAGACTCTCTCTCTCTCTTTCTCTGTCTGCTCATTTTCCTCTCTCAGCTCGGGTCAATTTCGATCTGCATCATGCTGGTGCTCTCTCTCTGTTCGATTCGGTTCGATGGAGACTTGAAGAAAGTGTCCTCCTTTGCGCAGAACTGATCGTTTCGCCGACTGTCCTTCGTCGTTCTGTCTGGTGAAGATCGGATTTTGAGGTGAGTGCGCTGCTAAATTTCGCATTTTTTTTCCGGCGGCTGCGATCTGTAATTGCCGAAATAAAGACGGGACGGACGATCCGGAAGGTTTGGATCTCGTCACTCGAGATTTGACTTTGATCTTTGACTGGTGGACTCCGGTAGACAGCAGAAGAATCGCTACTTGATTGTGCAGTCTTTATAGAAGTTAGTCCAAGTCTTTTAATTTCGTCGCCAATTGTCGTTCACTTGGGAGCGATTTGGGCTTGTCGTAGGAGAATAGCTTATTCTGGGACCTTTTTCAGGAATTTTACTCGCGGATCTGCGTGTTCACTGGAAAAGAAGTTGCTTCTGAATGCGACATTGGAGATCTCTACAGCTTCTGCGGATGCAACATTTAGTTCGGAATCAGTGAAGTCATCCTCTGTTGGCATCCAAGCTGAGGAGGAGCTATTGCGATGGAGTCAGAAGGAGAAACCGGGGTGAGGGCTGACTAGTCTTTCGACGATATTTTGTTTACCCCATTGTCAATTTGATAGCACAGATTTAGGAATGTCGTAGTGAGAGGAACTTTTTATTGTCGTTTAAAAGTTTGTCTCGTGGAAAACGCAGAGATAATTGCTAAAATATCTTGGTTCTCGTGGCTTTGAAATCTTGGCCTGTCAGTTATTGTGGACATATGGAGGTTGATAAATTGGGGGCAACAGAGATTTCAATGGAGCGGAAATTATCTCTTGCTTTTTTTTTAATCATTTTTACCATCCTCAGGGCAGTAGTATGTTTTAGACTGTGCGGTTAGTGTTATAAAGTCCTGCACAATTATAATTGCTGATATCATTCACATCACCTACTTCTTTTGACACATGAAAGGGTTTGCTCAAGGCTGTTATTTGTCTGACTTTTACACAGGGAAAGCCAATGAAAAATCTGGGTGGTCAAGTCTGCCAGATCTGTGGTGATAACGTTGGCAAAAGAGTTGACGGCGAGCCATTTGTTGCTTGCGATGTCTGTGCATTTCCTGTCTGTAGGCCATGCTATGAGTATGAGAGGAAGGATGGGAATCAGTCATGTCCTCAATGCAAAACCAGATACAAGAGGCACAGAGGTCTGTTGTACATAGTACTTTTGGGAGATTCTATAGTAGAGATTTGTGAGAAAGGATACTTCAATTTTCAAAAGTATCTCTTATCTTACTTTTGGCTGTTTGTGATTCATGTTATGCTATTAATTTTTTTTGTGACTTCATTTTGTCTCCTACTCATTGCAGAAGTATTATAAATGTGCCATGAATTGTTAACATAAATCTTTCACATGTACTCTTTTCTTTGATATACTATCATTTCCGTGTTCTTTCCCTGCTGAATCTGGGGCTATAGCTAGCTCCTATAATTCTGCTGTCAAACTACTCTTGACATAGAACCTTGTCAATAATATTGTTTTATTGTGTTTAACCTTAGCCTCTGTGGTTCCTTTTATTCGTATTTGTTCTTTCCAGGAAGTCCTGCTATTCTTGGTGACCAAGAAGAAGATGCTGATGTTGATGATAGTGTGAGTGATTTCAATTACTCAGAAAATCAAAATCTAAACCAGAAGACTGAAGAGCGCATCTTGAGTTGGCACATGCGGTATGGACAGAATGAGGACGTGAGTGCTCCAAACTATGATAAGGAGGTTTCTCACAACCATATTCCTCGACTTACGAGTGGCCAAGAGGTGCATTGTTTGAGCTTATGGGGTGCTGGTTTTCTCTTTGGCGTTGTTTTAGAATTAAAATTGTCTTTGCATTGTTATTCATCGCAATGTCTTCAGGTTTCTGGGGAGTTATCTGCTGCTTCACCTGAACACCTCTCTGTGGCGTCTCCTGATGTTGGTGCTGGGAAGCGCATCCATTCTCTACCTTATGTAGCCGATGCTAATCAATCGCGTACTTCCCTCTTGTTATTCGCAAACATCCTCGTTTCTACGTGCTTGTAAACCCCAAGTATGGCGCGTATTGATTATGTGGTACTGGCAATGCAGCTAACATCAGGGTTGTGGACCCAGCGAGGGAATTTGGTTCATCAGGACTGAACAACGTTGCCTGGAAGGAGAGAGTTGATGGCTGGAAAATGAAGCAAGAGAAGAATGTAGCTCCAATGAGCACTGCCCAGGCTACTTCCGAAAGAGGAGGTGGTGATATCGATGCCAGCACCGATGTGCTTGTGGACGACTCTTTACTGTGAGTCTCTACCATATTAAGCTTTATTAGTTTTTCTTTTTTTTGCTTAGTATTTCTTACAGTCGAATTTGGCTCGTGTTGGGCTAAAAGTGAGGCTGACCATCTTCACTAAGATTTCCTTTGTTGATGTTGCTTAATTATGTGGTCGTCTCTGTTTTCAGCCAAAAAGCTGTTAACATATATTGAATTCCTAGAAATTCTCAAAATCTTTCCTGACGCTGGCTCTCCATTACTAACTATAGTTATTGGTGTCATAATGTAACTGCAACTACTTTTTAATAGATCGTTCTATCTGTTTATCCTGTTCAGTCCTTGGCTGCATTTCACATAAATATTTTTCTTATTCTGTAGGAATGACGAAGCCAGGCAGCCGCTTTCAAGGAAGGTCTCTGTTCCATCATCAAGGATAAATCCATATAGAATGGTTATAGTCCTGCGGCTTATCATTCTTTCCATCTTTTTGCACTACCGAATAACAAATCCTGTGCCCAATGCCTTTGCTCTGTGGTTAATATCTGTGATTTGTGAGATTTGGTTTGCAATATCTTGGATATTGGATCAGTTCCCGAAGTGGTTTCCAGTAAACCGTGAAACGTATCTTGACAGACTAGCCATTAGGTAGGATAACTACTTCATGAATCTGGTAACTTAGGTTTTTCTTATCACCGACTTGTTTTGTCTGATCAGAAATTTTGGTGGAACTTTACATGTTATAGGTATGACAGAGAAGGAGAACCATCACAGTTAGCTGCTGTTGACATCTTTGTCAGTACTGTCGACCCACTAAAAGAACCTCCTCTTGTGACAGCAAATACTGTACTCTCCATTCTTGCTGTTGACTACCCAGTTGACAAGGTCTCATGCTATGTGTCCGATGATGGAGCTGCTATGTTAACTTTTGAGGCCCTTTCTGAAACATCAGAGTTTGCAAGGAAATGGGTTCCTTTCTGCAAGAAGTATAGCATTGAACCTCGAGCCCCCGAATGGTACTTCGCTCTGAAAATCGACTACTTGAAGGACAAAGTTCATCCATCATTTGTCAAAGATCGCAGAGCTATGAAGGCATGAGTTTAGATCAGAATCACGATAGTGTTTTGCAATCCCTTTGTAACATGCATCATTGTGACATGTTTGCATTTTCATGTATTGCAGAGAGAATATGAAGAATTTAAAGTCCGTATAAATGGACTTGTTGCCAAGTCACAGAAGATTCCTGAGGAAGGATGGATTATGCAAGATGGGACACCATGGCCAGGAAATAACACAAGAGACCACCCTGGAATGATTCAGGTAAATTTATAATTTTTCCAATGTAGTTAATATTGTGATTTAGCTCGTAAAATCGTACCCACCTTGGATTGATTCAGGTTAATTTATAGTTTAATCCAACGTAGTTAAATCGCGATTTGGCTAGTAAATATATACAATTTTACAAGCCAAATCATGGAAATCGAGTCAACTCTCTGCAAAATTACAAAGCAAGTGAGCTTGAAGTGAAATTGCGAGTTGACTCGGTAATATTGCAATTCAACTTGGTAAGAATCGTTGGGCTGGCTTATATTCATCCAGGGGTTTGTTATGTGGAATTGCAGTCTTTTTCTAGGCCCAAAAGCAAATGAGACAAAGCAGCCCATCTTAAGGTGTAGTGAAATGGTTCGTTTCATCATTGTCAGTGCGAACTTAACCTCGAAAAAACAAAGAAAAACACATTCTAAACTATCAGGGAGCAACACAGCAATCTCTCTCTCTCTCTCTCTCAGTTCAATGAAGCTGCCACTGAAAGCCTCATATGCCACCCAACCATAACAAAAATCTTTGTTGGAAATCTCCTTCTCCACCCTATTACTTCGGCAACAAAAAGTGAAAGCTTTAAAACTTTTATCATATGGGAAGTTATTTCTTGATAGGCCCCGATTCTTTTTTTCTTTTCCTGTTTCAAGTTAATGCATTCTCTTCACAATCAATTTGAAATATATTATCTTATTTACTGATAGTTAGCAGAAAGTTAAAATAATGATGATGACGTATCGACTGGCTTTATGTTTGTGATTATATCCACTCCATGAATTTGCCTTCCTAATTTAACTCATAGGATTAGTTTCTTTATTTTTTTCTCTTCAATAGTGCAAGTATACATCAGGAAATCACAAGAGCCAACATGCTAGTTGGAAAGTGTTTTTTTCTTTTCATACAATGTGACATTGGTGGTGTTGTTAATAGGATAATAGTATCATTTAACTTCTGTTACTAAATTTGATGGTGTGGAGCTCTCATGATCAATAATGATGAAACTCATAAAATTCTCTAGGTTATTATATAAAGTTTGCATATCTGAAGATATTACGATTCGATTTTATAAAGGTCTTTTCTCATGAATATCATTGTCTGTAGCAGATTTCTCTTGTTTCCTATTATACTGCATCTTCAAGGCCATGACTCCAAATCCAAGTTCTCTTAACTCAGTTATGATGAGGGTCAAACTGTAGTTCCTGGATCCTGGAAGCAGTGATTTATTTTTTTACTAAAACATTTACATTACTCGCATTCTGCCAGGTTTTCTTAGGGCAAAGTGGAGGTCTTGATGCTGAGGGTAATGAGCTGCCACGTTTGGTCTATGTTTCTCGTGAAAAACGTCCGGGCTTCCAACATCACAAGAAAGCTGGTGCTATGAATGCTCTTGTGAGTAGATGTCTGTTAATTTTAGAAGTTGTTGCTTTCATGTTTTGGTTTTCCTTACCTTTTGTCTAACTTTATTTTCAGGTGCGAGTCTCAGCTGTCCTCACTAATGGACCTTTCTTGTTGAATCTTGATTGTGATCACTACATAAACAACAGTAAGGCATTGAGAGAAGCCATGTGTTTCTTGATGGACCCTAACCTTGGGAAACATGTGTGTTACGTTCAATTTCCACAGAGATTTGACGGTATTGATAGAAATGACAGATATGCCAATCGCAATACCGTGTTCTTTGATGTAAGCTCTTTGCCTCTTCATTAAAATACATTTTCTTATGTTATGTCCAAGATTGCTACTTGTGCTGACATCAAAATCACGTCCTCTGTCGAAGCAAGTACTTTTGTTATGGACGAAGATTTAAAACATTCTTCAGCTTCCTTGCATAACTCATTAGATGGAGATTGTAATTATTCTGTTTTATGATCTAGATAAACTTGAGAGGTTTAGATGGCATCCAAGGTCCTGTTTATGTTGGAACTGGGTGTGTGTTCAATAGAACAGCCTTATATGGTTATGAACCTCCTCACAAGCCAAAGCATAAAAAGTCAGGATTCCTGTCTTCTCTCTGTGGTGGATCACGAAAGAAATCAAGATCAAGTAAAAAGGGCTCTGACAAGAAGAAGTCTAGCAAACATGTAGATCCAACCGTGCCTATCTTCAGCCTGGAAGATATAGAAGAGGGAGTAGAAGGTACAGATCTAGCTATTTCTTGGATCATTTAAATTCGGGTGGAAACTTCCTTGCAAGCTCACTAACATTTGACTGGTGAAAACAAGGTAGTGGTATACAAGTTAGTGAGGCCTTGAGGTCTGGAATGTATCTTCATTTTTATATGCCCTTTCCCTCAGAAATTTAGTGACCCTTGAGGTTTTGACACTCTTGCCTGAGGACAACTTTTGTACCCGATGTCTTGGGATCCTTCCGATGACGCATTTTCTATGTTCTTTCAGTCATGTAGTTTCTTAGTTTTTCTAATGTTTTCTTTTCCTGGATTCGCTTAGCTTCATCAATCGCTTATTTTGTTGAGACCTTGCTAGTGTACTTTAACAGTTAATGTTGACAATCCAGTTCATTATCCATTTTAATGCTGCTCCTGTGTGTAAGAGCTATTAAATGTCTGATAGTTCATTTCAGGTGATAGTGTTGATCTTCTGCTTGAAACTTATAATGCCATAAGAGGAGCTTTAACATTTAGATTAGAACCTCTCGGGCTGACTTTTTATTTGCATAATCATAGGTGCTGGATTTGATGATGAAAAGTCGTTACTTATGTCGCAAATGAGCCTAGAGAAGAGGTTTGGTCAGTCTGCTGTCTTTGTGGCCTCTACACTTATGGAGAATGGTGGTGTTCCTCAATCTGCTACTCCAGAAACCCTTCTTAAAGAGGCTATTCATGTCATCAGTTGTGGTTATGAGGATAAATCAGACTGGGGAAGTGAGGTATGTGAGCTTATTCTAATATTTATTCCACCCGAGTGTTCGATGTTATATGATAAAAAAATACATGGCTATTGGTGAGTGAAGACTTAGATTGCTGGGGAAGATATCTGATGCAGTTTGTCTTTATGTGTACTCGGCAGAAGAGATCAAGTGTGAAGATATTCATTTTCTTATTTTTTCTTGTATGTGATTTACCCTTTGCTTTCTGAAAACAAGTAATTTTCCTACTTAGTAGGTCACTTTGTTAGATGAAATTTGACTTGTACTCTAGTCTTTCTCTTCATGTCCTTCCTTTTTCCTCCAGTATTTTGTTCGACTGCTTGAACACGATCTATCTTTTGCTTTGCAGATTGGATGGATCTATGGGTCTGTCACAGAAGATATTCTTACAGGATTCAAGATGCATGCCCGTGGTTGGCGGTCAATCTACTGCATGCCAAAACGTCCTGCATTTAAAGGGTCTGCTCCTATTAATCTTTCTGATCGGTTGAACCAGGTGCTTCGATGGGCTCTAGGTTCTATTGAAATTCTTTTTAGTCGCCATTGTCCCATCTGGTATGGATACGGTGGTAGGCTTAAATGGCTTGAGAGGTTTGCATATGTCAACACTACCATTTATCCTATCACTGCCATACCTCTTCTGATGTATTGTACCCTGCCAGCTGTCTGCCTGCTGACAAACAAGTTTATCATTCCACAGGTGCGTCATTCAACATTCATTGGCATGTCATTTTATTGTCTTGATATTTAACCTCTTATCATTTACTTCCACTTACTGATACCATAATTGCTCTCTCAATGATATTGTTGCGCTCAAGAATACCATCAAGTTTGTAGGTTCTAGTGTTATCTAATTGTCAATCACTGACTGAGGTTTGATCTTGCTCGTGCAGATCAGTAACATTGCCAGTATTTGGTTCATTTCGCTCTTCCTTTCCATTTTTGCCACTGGTATCCTGGAGATGAGGTGGAGTGGTGTTGGAATTGATGAATGGTGGAGGAATGAGCAATTTTGGGTTATTGGTGGAGTGTCGGCCCATCTTTTTGCCGTCTTCCAGGGCCTGCTCAAAGTCTTGGCTGGAATTGACACCAACTTTACTGTTACCTCCAAAGCATCGGATGAAGATGGGGATTTTGCCGAACTCTACATGTTCAAGTGGACAACTCTTCTCATCCCTCCCACTACACTCCTCATCATAAACTTGGTCGGGGTCGTGGCCGGGATCTCTTACGCCATCAATAGCGGATATCAGTCGTGGGGTCCACTTTTTGGTAAGCTGTTCTTTGCATTTTGGGTGATCATTCACCTGTACCCCTTCCTCAAAGGTCTGATGGGACGCCAGAATCGCACACCGACCATTGTAGTTGTTTGGTCGATCCTCCTAGCATCCATTTTCTCTCTTCTGTGGGTGCGTATTGATCCCTTCACGACCCAAGTGACTGGACCTGACGTCGAGCAGTGTGGAATCAACTGCTAATAAAAGTACACAGATGGGGAAACTGTAAGATCCGAAATTGGTTACTCCCCACTAAGCTAAAGTTGTTAAGGTGAGGGTAACCTTTTTCCGTCATTAGAGGTACCCACCTGGCTGGCTGCAAAGTGCAATCTTGTTTGTTGTTGATTGTAAGATTTATTTATTTGTGGATAGATAGGCTGTGAGAGTTTTTGTTTCGAAGGTCATAAGTTAATGTGCATTAGTTGGAGGATCTGTATTTTGGCTTCCCTTTGACTGCTGCCGAGACAGTTAATGTATTGTGCTCATGAACAGCTGATACATTGTATTTGCTCATCCAAATGCATTGTACCTATCACATGGTGGTGATCCTAAGCTTAGTGGCATGCTTACACTTTCCTTTTGAGCGTTTGGAACCTTTTTCTTTCCTTTCTCGTGGGCCCCTTGAGTACCGTCCTGCTCTTTCTTTTCGTTTTGTTTTCTAGAAAGTGTACTCTTCTGAAAGAAATATAAGTTCTGGAAAATGTGATTTTGGACCCTGCTGCGCGGAAAGGGGATGGGATGTGGGGAATTTCCTCTCATTGGAAGATCAAAACTTGTGAAGTTAAGCCCAGAAAAAGAAAAATAAAAGGAGTACTGTGTGAACATGTTGAGAGGATGTCTTACTTTTCTTCTACGCCAACTTCTACAAAGTTTAAGGTACAAAACCATCTGTCCTAACTCATTTCCCTGTAATGACTTTGTCGGATGAGGGCAATGACCATGGTCTTCGAACCAAGATGCGACTTAACGTATGCTTTTAAAATAGCGAAGGGGCTGGAACAAATTGAACTGCAATTCAAATGAGGAGTGTTTCTTGATTTTGTATGGAAAAATTGAAAGTAAATTGTAAAATGCATCTTTTCATGTAGAGGATAGGCGAAAGCGAACAATTTTAGAAATTACCACCAATTTTTGTGATTATGACCTTAGAGTAATTAGCTCAAAAGTATCAATTTAACCGTTGGAATACCAATAAATTTAGTGGATAATGATATGGGTCTTCTTCAAACTTTTTGTGCAATATGTTCTTTTATAATTGTCAGTTCAACGGTTGAAAGTTCACGAAATTTAATGGATGATAATGACATGCCGCATCGTTTGGGTTTGTCTTTTCACTAAAAATTTTATGGACGAAAATCCAACTAATTGCGAAAAAATAGCTAAGGGATAGTATGGAATATCCTCAGCTATTTTAACGGCTGTCTGGATAACATCGGCCGTCAACTGGCGAATGAGCATGCAGAACCTTTGACGTGTCCCATGTCCCATGCAATGTCTGACAACCGAAGATGTTCAGTGTGCCACGTGTAAACTCTTGCCATCTAGGGCTTCGCCACGTGTGAAGAAGTACCCTTTTCTTCTCTAGCCCACCTTCAAAGATTTCTTACTTTCTCTCGCTGCTGCTGCTGCTGCTGAGAACTTCTGAATTGCTCATCCGCTTGTATTGCTTATACTTCTGTGGAAAAAGAACTTGAGAATGGCACTAATGGAGGAACCAATCCTCTCTCGCATTGATCGCTTGGATAACATGGTGTGTTGAGCCATTGATCTCTTTTTCCCATATATTTATATTTTACAGTTGGGATTTTCTCTGCCTTGAAATGCTCCGGTTGTGTAGTTTCGGAAGCTAACAGCTTAAACCACGCTTAGCTTCCTTAAGCGTAATTTGTTTCCATGAGTAGTGTAATTTGAAAAGGTCTAATTAGCTGTTGAGTGGATTGAGTATATACTTATGTAGAGATAGGAAACCCACGACTTTGCGAGCAAAAGTGATTTGTAAAGATTGATTTTGAGTAAAGTTTATCAGTCAATGTGGCAAGTTTCAGATAGATTAGAATATGAAAGGAGCTCCGTGTATGTGGGTTTGTATCCGTCATATTCACTGTGTTAGTATGCTATTTTGTCTCCAATTACAGGTTGTAGGGGCTTGTTATTCATTAAACGTATTTCAATTGAACGAGTCAGATTATTACACGAGAGAATAATTTCAAGGTTTGATGGGTTTAAATTTCCCACGTGAAATGAAGTGGGAATACTTAGCATAGTATAGTGATCGTCTTTGTATTTCCCTCTCTCACAATAAATCCACTTCCGATTAGCAACGTGAAGGGGAAAAGTGCCAAAAAAGTCATAAATCTTTTGCATTGGTGCCAATTTAGTCATAAACTTTTTTTTTGTGCCAATTCAGTCCTAAACATGTTGCATTTGTGCCAATTCAGTCCTAAACCTTTTGTCTTTGTGCCAATTTAGTCCTTCCGATCAATTTTGGTTGGATTTTGCAAACGTGGATGCCGGCCGGTCACCGGCGCTGACGTGGACAACTTTAATAATATTTTAAATTTTTTTTTGAATTTTTTTTCCCTCCCCTCCCTCCTTCCTCTAGCCGATCGCCGAATTGGCGACCGGCCAGAGGCCAGAGGCCGGCGCTGGCAAGGCTCGCCTTTGCCAGCGACAGCGAAGGCGAGCCTCGCCAGATCCAGCGAGGTCGGGCCTCGCCTAGCCATGGCGAGGCTCGAGCCCTCGCCAGCGGCCTCCGATAAGGGATCGAGCCTCGCCATGGCTAGGCAAGGCCCAACCTCGCTGGATCTGGTGAGGTCCAACCTCGCTGGATCTGGCGAGGTCGAGCCTCGCCGGCGGCTGGGCAAGGCCCAACCTCGCCGGATCTAGCGAGGTCGGGCCTCGCCCAGCGCGAGGGCGAGCCTCACTCGTGACCGGTCGCCGATCCGGCGACCGGCTGGAGGAAGGAGGGAGGGGACGGGGAAAAAAAGAAGAAAAAATATTAAAATATTATTAAAGTTGTCCACATCAGCGCCGGTGACCGGTCGCCCGCCGGTGACCGGTCGCCCGCCGGTCGGCGTCCACGTCAGCAAAATCCAGCCAAAATTGGCCGGAAGGACTAAATTGACACAAAAACAAAAGGTTTAGAACTGAATTGGCATAAATATAAAAACTTTAGGACTGAATTGGCACCATAAAAAGGTTTAGGACTGAATTGGCACCAAAAAAAGGTTTAGGACCAAAAACAAGTTTAGGACTTCTTTGGCACTTTTCCCGAACGTAAAGCGCTTGCATGCACGCAATGCATGAAGTTGCCTTCTCTTTTGGGCTTTTTGCTTTGTTCTCTTCTCTCCTTTTGTTTTAATTTGAAAGGCTTGAGATGGTTTTGTTGCCCGAGTGTAAGAAGGAAAGAGGGAAAGCGATCCCGGGTTGTGCTTGTGCTTGTGGATGTGTGACATCTTTAATAAGTCCAAGCGGTGAAAATAAGAAATTCGACTATGCAGCCTTTATGGCGCCCCTGTAATTCGTCAGATACATGCACTTCAACAAAAAATGATCAGGCAAACTTATTTGTATTTTTCACTGACTACTTCGGTATGAATTGCAGCCAGGCTACTTTTGCTTGCGACGTTAACATGCTGCACTTAACTATAGCATATTGGAATTCGAGTACAAGCACAGATGAGTTGATCCTTTGTGATTATGAAGTTGACTAGGAGTAAAATTCTTGTGGGAGAATTGATGATACCATCAGAGAGTGATTCAGCATTGAGATTCCAATTTGCTGCGAAGAAGAAACGTCTCTGCACTTTTACATCCTGTGTGCACACTTAAAGATGTGCTGCTGTTTATTCTGTTCAACTAATGTGTGAGTCTCATTATAAGTGGAAATTGAAGGTCGTGACAAGTCTAAATTTTCATGAGAAATAAGTGTTTTAGACTCAGTTGTCAGAGATCTAACATGATTCTCGGCTTGGTGGGTTCTTAATTGAGTAGATTCGAGGTGTCGAACTATCCGGACTTGAATAGAGAGCATCCATGTTCAAGGTCCGTCGGTCTATTCCTATCTTCAGTTTCTGCTAAAGCGCCAATGAAAGGAACGCATACGCCAAGAAAACAAACTTATGAATGGTCAAGGCAGGCATGCCCATGCTTCATCTTGGACAACTCAGACGCATTGTGCATGCAAAGAGAGAGAGAGAGAGAGAGTATGTGTATATAACCAATTATTGAGTGGGTAAACTAGGAGACCCACTAGGTAAAAAGTAAGAAGTGTAATGTAAGTGATGCATTGCCTCTATAGAAATATTAATAAACATGAGTTGCGGAAATGGTGTGAACTATCTAAGAAGAGTTTTTTAAGGTAAGTTCGCAATCATAATCGTTGGGGAAGAAGTCCTTCCTTGAGAAAGCGCCAAGGTCCAGTCCCAGTTCCCATTCTACAAAACCACATCAAACAAGCAAAATTGTACTTCACATGCTCATGAACAATATCCTAGCGGGGAATTACTACTCCGTAATACTCCTAATGAATACTGGAAATTAACTTTTTGTTTTCAGGTGATAAATTGATTCCAAATAATAAGGTGCTTCACTTAGTGCTTCATCAAACTTCTCCACAACAAATATAAGAACGGTCAATTGAAGTGGAAATTCTTGTCATGAGATATAAATGAAAGAGTTCATCTAGAAAATTTCACAAAAGTAGGAAATCATACCTCCAAATACCAGCTACAGTCCGAAGACCCATATATATAGTCAGAGCGACCCATATTCCAACAAAACCGTCACTCTTAGAGAGAAGGAATAACGAAGCAATGCTAATAATGGAAACTAAAACCTGCATACAAAAACTTATTAGAGAAGAGGTAACATATTTGGAAGTCACACGAACCGGACAAAAGTAGGTCTTGGTAGCAGAGATTTGGGGACTTGCCATGGAATATGCAGAGTAGGCAAAATCTGATGCTCCAAAATTGACGCCATCAAAGACAAAAGCCAAGGAATTGATAGGTTGTGTAGCTGCAACAAACTGTTATGCACATAGAGATGATCTACTCAATTTATGCAAGAAAACTTTTATTGTAAGACATTGAGACTTGAGAGAACATACCGGAATGCCCACAAAAATGAGATGCTGAACATTGACATCTTTTGAGAATACTCCGGATCCGAATCTCAAGCCAACACCAACAATCACAGTGAGCCCTAGGCCAAGAACAAATCCCATCTGTATGATTTAATTGTCAAGAAGTTAGAATGTCAAGTAGTAAGCAGCACGTGTGGGCTCCGACATTGCACGAGCACTGCACAGCACCTAGCTAAGTGGTCTAAACATTTGTGTCAACTATCCATTAAGCCTGAAGAGGAGCAACTTTTCTCTTTACTCTCGGGAATCTCAAATTCACAAGATCAAGTGATTCAAAAAGTCATTATTATTTATCAAAATAAGTACCTGTAATACCCTAGACGCAGCCGCAGTTGCCTTGTCATAATCTTTCTCTGCAAATGCACCAGCTAGGATTGCCTATATGTAGAGTACGAGCATCTTAGTCAATGATCACTACCGACATTACAGGACATTAGTCAATGATCACTACCGACATTGCAGGACATTGCACATTATAGCATTAAGAAGAACTTCTATAATGATCGATACATGGCTGACGACATGTGTTATAAGATAAAGGATGATGGTATATTCAGTAGCACATATGAGGAGTCTATATATAGCACAATCTTTATAGCGAACAAGAAAACTTTCAAAGGAACATACTTCCTTTAGTTACTAAAATCAAACATCATGAAAATCATGGCCAAGAAGTTCCCATTTGAGTGATCTAATATTTATAAATGAAATAGTTTCCTCTATGTTAAGACCTTCTCCTATCAAAGTTACTAAGAATCTCAAATAGCAACTATCTCCTAATGAAATGGATCGTACTTCTTTATTGCATTTTGCTAATAGCTAGGTGGTTTAAAGAAGTTGATGACAAATCCTTTAAATATGCTAGACTAGCACTGACAAAAAACTCCAGTTAACAAGTTCAACCTAGAATTGATACCTCTGAAATATTCCTCATCTCATTTTGGTCTTAGATACCAAAGCTCCATTATGTCCTTTATTTGAGATCTTTTTAACATGCTCAAGTGGATAATGACCATTTTAAAGCAAGTTCGAAACTGGATATCAAACTAAAAAGTATAAAAGGGAGAAAACAAAAAAGAATTCTAGATGTGGGACAATTTTTTTCAAGAAAGTGAACAACACTTCTAACAAATCTCATTCTTGCTGTTCAAAAAACTAATTGCCTCATGTACATCGTTTTGCTTCACTTAAAGATCTAGCGAGGGCATCACATACTGAGGAAGTATTCATTGTTTCTAGAAAAGTATTCAAGGAAGCAGTTTTACCTGTCCAGCAACAGCCAAACCATCAGCAAGAAGTGATGATGTCATCCAAACTTGTAAACATATCTGAAATGCGGCCATAGATGTTGTACCCAGCCGTGCAGCCATTGAGGCAGCAAGAGTAACACAAAATGTGACAGCTATCACCCTTGCCAACAAAAGAAGTCCTGTGAATGAACACAAGCATTTCTTTAGAATTAATAATATTCTCAAAAGAGTATATAGCAATATAAACATGAAAGATAATAAACTATGAGCAAATAAATTATCGATATTTATATGAGACAAAGGTAGAACCTAAAGGGCAACTCTACTCCCCTTGTCGAAAGAAGGAAGAAAACAAAGCGATAAAGTTGTTTAGTTGATACATGTATCTATGGGCATTTGCTTATGCAAGATTATTCACTAACCATTCTTTAAGAACCGGCGAAATTGTAAATCTTTAAGGCTCGGAGGTAAGAGATCAACCTGTTTCATCAGCCTCCATAGGAGAATAAGAGATATTAAGTACCTGGCAAAATCACAAAATAATTTATAAATATAGATAATATGGTCAATTGTCAATTTTTGAAGACATTATGACATGCATATGAACATATGAATCAATGTTACTTCTTGAGGTATAAGTACAAAACCGAAGAAAATTAGGGATGGATGGCACTACTTACTGAGAAAGAACATGCGCAATTGCAGCACCACTGACACCCAAATGGCAGACAAAGATAAGTATTGGATCTAAGATAATATTTGCGACATCTCCTGCAACTGTTATTAACCAATCAAATTAACAATCAAACAACCACTGAGAATAAACATAGTTCTAGTTTGCCAAGTCACAAAAACCACTAACTTCACTGTAGTTAAGAAGCACCAGTATACCCTACAAAGTGATAACTTTGTAAAATGCAAGATGGGAAATCTCTAGACCCTCCTATTGTATTTTATTTTCTAACTCAAAACACTCTATCTTTTTATTCTCCCGGCTGAAGTTAATCGAAGATGAACTTGCAACAACTTTATCTGGGATAGGAACTATACGTTTTAACAAGACATATCATCTGATAATCCAGTCAGTGAACTGACAAAGAGATAGGCAAATATAACATAACTCACTACCAATGGAATCGTTAACTTTCATGACGAACAAGTTATGGCATTTTAGGACTCTATAATAGTACTTTATGTAAGATATGATGACTGTTAATTGGCAAGGTTGTCCAGAAAAGCACTCGTCCTCCAGCTTAGACTTTAAACAAATTGAAAAATCTGATACTTTAAAGCTCCAATAGAACAGCTCTATTTGATCTACAATCATTGTTTTCTTCTATCTCATGAGTCCATAGGTAATTTCTCCTTGTCTCAGGCACTTTCATCATAAACACATTGTACTCTATGTTGGACATATCAAATTTGCTTCCACATCTGATATTAAACTCATGCTATATATACAATGTAGACCCGTTTTCTAACTGGTTAAACTTTTGAGCAAAAAACGATTGTCCAACCTTGTCTCAAAGAATAGGTTTAGATTTCAAATTCCGACACTTCGTTTATTGTAATTCTGCCTATTCTCCTGTTTTGGTATACTTGCCTCTAGTCATCTAGTTATAGTTTACGTTTTTAAGAATATAAAATGTAGTCTACAATAAATGAAGTCAATTAAATCCAGATTTTTCCATTTTGACACAATAGTTGGAAATAGAGATATTATCCCTCATACCAGTGGCATAGAGAGGAGTTTTGGTATCCTTGAAGCCTCGAAACACGCCTTGCATTGCCAAAGAAAGAAGAACAGCAGGAGCCCCTAGTGATCTTAGTGTCAAGTACCTTTTAGCAGGGGTTAGCATCGAAGAACCCTGTCCAAATAAGCAACATATGCAATTAGTTAAAATCATGTCGAGGCAATGCAAGTCATTTCTAGCTTAGTTAGTGACCTCAAATATACAAGACTAGATTCTCCGGCTGATATGTTACTCGAAGAGTAATTTTTTTTTTTTTTTGATAATCATTAGTAATTGATCATGCAGCAAGGGGAAAATGAATATAGCGAGACCAAGTGTCTATAATGTTGCTATTACTAAACTAACAGTAGAAAAGGAAAAGGATTAGTTGGCGTGATCTACTCATGAGCAGGCAAACTATGATGAGCGGGCAAACTATGATGAGCGTTTTTCACTATAAGTCTGTTTGGGACTATTGTAGCTTTGGTGTTGTGTCGTCTAGAGGTAGAGCCGGAAGGGGTTTCCAGGTATCAGGGTTCAAATCTAAATCTATCATATCCCCTCATGGAGCCACCTTAAGAATTGGAACCTGTGGAAGGTATCATGCACGTTTTGTATGTCATATGCTATATCAAACAAATAAATTTTTGAACTCTTAAAAGACAGGAGAGTTTTAGCAGTTCAAAAAGTTCAGCAAAAAACATAATCAAAAGACTTACTGATTTTACACCCATAAAAGCTAGGAGGGTTTTAGCACCAAAAATCAGAAACAATGTTTGTAAGAGACCAAGGATCCCGCCAATTGCAAGTGCCGTAGATGCGGAAGGGATATGTCGCCTTTCCTTGCTCAATTTGGCTTTATTTGTTTTGCTACTGATTATTGGAGGAGACTTACATTTAGTTGCAGTAGAACCTGGTCAACCACGAGTACAGTCATTAGAGACCTAACATCCCGGCAAGTCTTCTGGTTAACTAGTGAAACTAACAACATGAGATGAGAACGGCATACATGGATTACAATTACCAAGACCTGTACTTATTGAGGAGTACCTACTTGTGGGGGAAGGGGGTGGGAAGTAAGCTTTTACTTTATCCCAAAATTTACAAGAAAAAAGGGGAAAAGATTTTGGATAGACTCATTCAGCTTTTGACGTAGGACATGGAGCCAATCTCACTCCAGTGTAACATCCAGAGCTCATTATTTTTCCTGTTCTTTTTCTACTTGAGGTCCAGTATAAATATTGCTGCTTGAAGGATGATTGGCTTAGTATGTGAAATGAGTCAGGCCATACATTTTCAAAGATAAAGTACCTTCTGCTGGAAGTAAATCTTTTACTTCACAGTTGTTGGTGGAACCCTTTTCCAATTTCTCAAGCATTTCATCATCAGGCATCAGCTCTTTCATTTCCATGTTCTTAGTTGAGCATTTCTTAGGGTTTTCATCTTCTTCCAGGTCAGCACATGTTTTTCCAATGGTTTCTTCTTCCGCAACAAATGAAGTTGTTATACTGACCAGCGGAAATATGGTAATCTTCGAAGCTTGATTAAATATAGCAATAGAAACTCCTACAGCTGCAAGCTCCACTGGACCTACACATGACAAAGTTACCATAAAAAAATGTGTCCATCCAATTATCACACCTCTTAAAGTCTAGAGGCAAGTATAATGAGTCATTGTAATGCGCAAATTGGAAACTTGTGTTTTTGAAGTTGTCATCATAGGATGAGCTACGTCCTCAGATTCATTGTTACTTTGAACCCATCCACATAAAGGTAGGTGTCAAGGCAAATAAATCAGCAAAACCAGCGGTCTATTCACCAAATGTTCCACATTTGGAAGGCAAGATAGACTCAAGGGGAATTAAGCCACACAAAACCCTAAAATCTCTTATCGCACCAAAAGCATTTGCATGCTATTGAACGTGGCAACCAAAGTTGTCATAATAAATACTCCAATTGTAGTTACCAACTCAACAGATTAGTCAAATGATGCCTAAACAGACATAGGAACATAAACCTAAGATCAAGTTCTTGAACTATAGAAATCTGGAGCTCCTACCAGCTTAAACTTTTCATTTTGGCCTTAAATGATAATTGTGAATATGATCATACAAAATCATGACATGCTATAGAGTTCATTTGCAGTCCAACAAATCACAATAGCAACCTGCCTAGACTTCATGTGGAAAAGCATAGACATGATCATCATACCTATACGACCAATGAATGCAGTATCAATTAAGGAAGCAACAGGGTCAGCAGCTAAAGCCAAGGCAGCGGGAAAAGCAATCCTCAATATCTCTCGACCAAGTTCATCCATTTTGAATACACGCCTGCAATCCAGAGACCATTGTTTAGCATTAAAGAAGACAGTTGAGGTATATTTCATCTAACTTATTCGTGTCATGAAATGACTTGAACATTAAGTTTTCCTGACAGACATCACTAAAGGGCATAACGCTTGACCTCATAGAAGCGAGCTGGTTGGCAAGCCAATTCATTTCTACCTAGATTTCATTTGACTTGCGCCAAGTAAGCATTACATGAATGAATATCCAAGATGATCGGTATTGTGAAAAGATGATATCCTGCCAATGCTAATTGAAATCTTGCACTAAGCATTATTCGGGAGGGTAATTGAGAAATCATTACTTGCCTTAGTCTTAGCTGTTCAAAGATGCGGCCAAAGTAGCCTTACCTTGCATCTCTGAAGAAGACAGAGATTGGAATGTTCCACTTGCTTCTTAATGAATGCTGATCACTTTCCTCTATCATTATCACGGGAACATGTTGATCAGTGCCTTCAGGCATGCCCTTTGGAGTATTTAGTTTACTGTCCTCAATGATACTGTCTGCTACAAGAACATTAGAGTCCTCGGCCATGATAGTCTAAGGAAAATGAACTTGAGCTTTAATCCGCCAAAGGTCCAAATCTAACAAATTCAACCAGGTTGCGGCCACCCAGTTCAATGTTGCTCTTGATGCACCGTGATCAAGTGCTCAGTTTCTAGTGTTCTTTATCTGCAGAGTGTAGCAAGCTCAAGATCTGGATGAGAAAGCAACAATTGAAACACTAAAATCTCCAGAAAAGTAAGTCCACGAAAATAATGTAAGGAGTACAAATATGACATTCTGGTGTCTAATCAGGTGACCAGTTGTTGGGTGACAAGAAAGAAAGCAAGCGAGCACAAAACATCGAAGAGTTTACGATGGACCTCCGTAGCAAAGAAACTCTAGCAGAGTGTACTGAAGTCCATACCTCACAAAAACGGAGAGATGGTAAAGAGGAGATGACGAGACATGCATAAGAACTGAGTCTAAATAAACACAACCCCTAGCATGATGACAGTTGGAACCTCCCTCAGCTCTTGAGAAGAACGCATCAGTCAAAAGGTCTTTCCACTTTCTCTATCTGCGGCATCAATTTGTGGGGAACTATGCCGCATATGTGAACATGCAGAGACCCAGATTATAAGCAAGTCAAACAAAGATTTATCACGTATTTATGAATAAAAACGCAAACCATTGTTATGTCTCTAATTGAAAAGCTTCGGTCTATTTATCAGTTGTGAATAGCAACATTCCATAGGCTAGTAAATAGGACTGATGAATGTAGACGAATGGACAAATCAACCTATTCATTGTTTGAAATACTTATGCATAGAATAACATAGTGTATACGTGTCAGACTTGAGGGGTTGGCCAGATTCAGAGCACGAGATAACAAGTGATGCACGGGCAGACACCAAGCATGATAAAGCTCGTTTGGTTCAGCATTTGGAATGCTCATTTGGGCTCTAAAGTCCCTTGGCCAAATACAAATGGTGTTTGACAATTTTTTTTACTCACTTTGGGGAGATGCAATTGCATTTGGAATGCTCTCCAAGGGACTTTTGGCCAATGCAAGGGTGGAGATACTTTGAGAAATTGCATTTTCGGAATGCAACTTGCACTGTTCATCTTCTCCAAACCGAGGTCCGGCGGCCGGTGACCGCCGCCTGAGGGCTAGCCTGACCCTAGCGACCACCACCTGGGGGTCGCGCGACCCCAGGAGGCGGTGGCCGGCGACCAGATCTGGCCGACGGCGATGGCCGGTGGTTTAGCTCCATCGGAGCTTTTTTTTTTTTTAAATATTAGCAAAATTTCTTTAGCCCAAATTGATTTTAAAAAAACGCTTACCAAATACTACTTGCATTTCGAAAAAGTCTTTTAACTCAAAGGTATTTGCATTTCTCCAAAGTCGAACCAAACGGGCCCAAAGCTTGGTTCTTGTTCGGTGAAACGATAAACGTCAGGAATATTAATATTAGAAAAAAATTAGCGCCTCGACATTCGGGGACGAGATCCGTACAAGTATACAGCGATGCAACCTCCCTCAGTATCATATTCCCCCAGTTATACAACGCCGCAGAGTGTTCAAGTCCAAGTCCAACTCACGCTTCGAGAAAAGTTAAAAGACCTTCTGTTCTGCATGTACGAACCATCCTTATTAGAGAAGACTCCCCTAGATTTTTCTCCCCCAGATAACTGCTCAAATGGTACGTTTTTTCCTAGTGATTCCATAAACCAGGACAAATAATTTATAGTGAATCAAAGAGGCTGAAAACAAACCAAGGAAAACCAGAGAAACAGAACAAGCTCAGTACCTACGCGATCACACAGACCCATGGGGTCAACAGAGATCGGAGATATAACTTAAAAAAAGGGTCCAAGTCCGACATCAATAATCATCAGCGCCTAGGAACTCACAGGCTCAAAAGCACTTTCTCGTGCCTCCCTGGATTTACGGTCTGAATGTCATCAACGTAAGAAACAAGGCCAAGAATATTGGGTGGTTTATTGGGCTCCCGTTTGGTTCAGCATTTGAAATACTTATTTAGGTTATAAAGTCCATTGGTCAAATACAAATGGTGTTTGACAACTTTTTTTACTTAATTTAAGGAGATGCAATTGCATTTAAAATACTCTCTAAGGGACTTTTAGCCAATGCAAGAATAGAGGTACTTTGGGACTGTCCATCTTCCCCAGATCGAGGTCCGGTGGCTGGCGACCGCCGCCTGAGAGCTAGCCCCACCCCGGCGACCACCGCTTGAGGGTTGCGTGACCTCGGTGACCGCCACCTGAGGGCTAATCCGACCCCGGCAACCACCTCCTGGGGGTCACGCGACCCCGGCGACCGCCGTCTAGGGTAGCCGGACCTCGGGGGTCGCGCGACGCAGGCCAAGCGGTCGCCTAAGGGTCGTGCGACCCCGGTGATCCCAGGCGGCGGTGGCCGGCGACCAGTTCTGGCCGTCGGCGGTTGGCCGACGACCAGATCTAGCCGGCGGCGGTGTCCGGTGGTTTAGCTCTACTGAATCTTTTTTTTTAAAAAAAATATTAGTAAAAGTCTTTTAGCCCAAGTTAATTTTAAAAAACACTTACCAAATATTACTTGCATTTCGGAAAATTATTTTAGCCCAAAGGTATTTGCATTCCCCCAAATGCATTCTCCCAAAGTCGAACCAAACGGGCCACTCCATTAATTGCTGCCACGTGTCCATTCTCTCCTCCGTTACCTCATCTCTCTTCTCTCACTCCTGGCTTCAAAGTTGGACAGCTCCGTCATGGCACAAGCAATGAGCTGACCTCTTCTTGAGCCTCAACGAGCCCACCACGACGCTGTCGGGTTTTGATGATCGCGCGCACAGGATGAAAGTGCTGCCAAGCTCGGGCTTACGGTTATTGTGAGGTTGAGGTGTTTGTGTTTTTCAAGATTCGCTTCAATGACCTCGAGATTTGTCTGCAGAGGAAACAGAGTACTGGAAAAGGAATTTAATCAAGCTTTTATTTCGACTTACTTTGATTCCCAATGAACTGTAAAAGTTCAGGGGATTTTACTTGTGAAATTTCCCCGTAAATTCGGTCTAGCTTGCTATGCACATGGTGCAGAAACAAGAAGAAGTAACTGAAGGAGAGAGAGAGAGGTGAAGGAGGGGGAAAGAAGGAGGTAATGGAGGAGGAGAGAAAATAATCTTAAAAGTTGGACCAACTTAAACAATTGACGATCAATGAGTGAAATGGATTATTGCCTGCACGGCGGTCTTGGACCACCTAGTATTTGGGCGGTGTTTAAACCTGTGCCAGGAAACAACAGCACCAGATACAATCACATTTCTGTAAAAAAAGAAGTGGTCATGGATCAATCTATTAATGTACCCAGGACAAGAATTTATTCCGCGCAATCAAATTCCTGGGAGTTCGTCAGCAATATTCTAGCATTTCCCAGAATGTGAATGCATTTGGATCCGCGGATGTGATTCAGCCTCGGACGTCTGGCCCTGCCCTACCCCGAAGATCTTCGTCATAAAAATAAAACCCGATTCGTGAACAAGTCGTCTAAACTCATGCACGTAGTCCTGACACGCTTCATGACCGAAATCATCGAGAAACTTCCTCTCTTGTTTGGTTGCCCGGCAAATACATAGTGAGCTTCCTACAACTACGAAGTTCTTCAGGAACGATTTTTCATTTCAATTAGTTCACACTCATCGCTTCCCAACCGAAAGTTCACATGACATGCCAACTGGGACCAGCATTTGCCCCTGAAATTTTCTACGAGTTCCAGCTAAATTGCATCGATTATGAACATACTGAAATATGATGCATTGAGTAATCGAAATCAAAGTTCAGTTCTTCATTACGAAAACACGAGTGTTTAGTGGCCCTTGTGGAATTTATCTAGTAATCCATGGTTTATTTTCAGTTTCTTTAAGATACTTTTCATGAATTAGATTCTGAGTTGTACTTTATAATATATATATATACGTACGCGATCTCCAATGGATTACTATACTCTTCATGGGAAGTTACACGTATAAGAATGCATGTTGTATTCACATATATTGATTCATATAATGCAGCACAGGACCCCATTAATTTACCAAAAAATTTATCTCCACATGATGGCATTATTCTCCTTAGCTAGCTACGATACAAATGAAATGACATCCAAACCTCACCGTCAAATTTAAATATATATATACATGTCGTATTCTTAAAAATATTATTTTAGAAAATCATATAGGTACAACTAGATCAGCCCATTGTTGAACTTATCCTCAACCTGGCTAATATAAATTTCATAACATTTTCAGATCTTTTGGATAGTCGACAATTACAAGGAGGTATTAGTTGATAACTTGCACATATACCTGTCAAAATGGGTCCGAAAATTCATTTATTGACACATTCATATAAACGGGTTATACACGGGACACCTAAAATTTCGCAGGCCAACCATAAGTGGGCTCTAAATGAAAGGGTCAAAATAAACGGCTGTTGAACCCACTTAAAAGAAGAAGATGCGAGTCGCAGAGGGAGACATGCATAAGAACTGAGTCAATGGAAACACAACCCTCAGCACGACCACAGTATGAACCTCCCTCAGCTCTTGAGAAGCAGGCATCAGTCAAAAAAGGACTTTCCACTTTATCTTTTGGATAGATAGCACTACTTTGTGGGGATTCATGCCGCATGCAGTACGCGAACTTGCACACCCAAAATTATAAGCTAGTCATGTGGGGGGGCGGGGGGGTTGTTTTGGGGGGTTGGGGGGGAGAGAGCGCAAGGATGGACAAATGAACCTGTTCATTGTTTGGCATACCTATGCATATGTACATGATAGTCCTGAGGTTGGCCTGATTCAGAGCATGCAATGACGAGCGATGCGTTGGCCGACATCAAACGTGACAAATCTAAATTCTTTTTCGGGTGGAGAGACAAACGTCGTGAATATGGATATAGCATAGACGCCTCAAAAATAGAGGGGGGAGGGGGGTGTGGGCGGCGGTGTTGTGCCCGCGACGGACGAGATCCGTCCACGAATACTGCAGTGCAGCCTCCCTCAGTATCGTTCTCCTCTAGTCACGCAACGCTCCAGAGTGTCCAAGCCCAAGTCGAAATCATCACGCTCGGAGAAAAGTCGGAAATACCTTCTGTCCACGCATGTATGAACTTTCCTTGTTAGAAAAGATTCCCCCTAGCTTTTCCCCCCTCCCCAGATGAAAGGCATTGTTTATCTTCCCGGGGCTCCAATAAAAAAGGCGAATAGTTTATAGCGAATCCAAGAGAGTCGAAACAAACCAAGGAAGCCCCGAGAAACAAGACAAGAGCCGTGACCTAACGTACCGCAACAACGAGAACGACGTGTGTGGATAGGACATCGTACAGATCGACTGGGTCAGCAGAGGACGGAGATTATCACTAATAAAAGAATGTCCAAGTCCGACATCAAATAGCCTCAGCCCCAAGAAATTCACGGGGCTCCCAAACTTTATCGTGCGTTCCTGGATGTACGGGCTGAATGTCATCGCAAGTAACTTGGCATGGGCGTGTAAATCAAGTCATGTACCCAGAGCAAAAAAAATTGCCGCGCAATCAATTCCTTGGAACTCCGCTGCATTTGGCATTCCCAAAATGTGAATGCATTTGGATTCCCGAACTCTATCCGAACTCAGACGTCCGGCCTGCCCTAACGCGAAGATCATCATGAAATG